ACAAAGGAGTCGAATTACCAACTCATAAATTATTGTGCTATACAATTTGGGTTTCTGGGTTATAAATATTGATTTGAAGTGTTATGGGTTAAAGTGTCAGATCATCATATCGCACACATTGAATTGCGTGTGGTCATGGTCTGATATGACACTACAGGCGTTTATTAAAAATACATTTAAATTTAGGCAAAATATTATTAATGAAGATTTTTAAATTAACTTATATAAAATCTATTATGTTTGTTATAGTAATTTAATTTAATATTTATGTTGTATTGAGTTCATAAGTAAGAATATCTATTTAATATTTATAAAAATTGGATTAATTAGTTATTAGTTAATTAGCTATTAGATTAATCTAAACTTCCGGCAGACGGCTAAAATGCCATAGCTGTAAGCTTTATGTATATTATTATAATTATATATATTATAATTATTATATAATGTCGATGTAATATAATAACTTTAAAATGAAGTAAAAAATAAAGCTACTACTACTACTACTACTAGTATTTACTTTTTTGGAGTGCGTAAAAAGGGAATCGATTTAATTGCTACATGTTTATATTTCATATCATTTATCAAAATAGTTGTTTATGTTTGTATTTAGTTAATATTATTTTATATTTTTTTATTGTGATATTTGGTTACATGTGTTTACAGTTTGAGCCAACACTGCGACCAGTCATTGACCAACGAAAAGTGCAATTTTGCGTTATCAGCTTTTCTTGTTGGTCAATGCACTGAAGAAAGTGTATAATATTTTTGGCTTATAATTATGTCAGCACAGCGTAGGCAAATTTATTTATTTGTGAATTATGCATTAATATTTATTGTTAATTAATGCATAATTTAATATTTTTTTTTATATGAAATAGTTGTGTATAAATAGAGTAAATAATTTTAATAAAGTTCAGAAAAGAAACGAAATACAAACCAATTATAACTTTCGTTTCTTACTTTCCCGCATCGATTAGTTTGTGTTTCAAGTGCTCAAACTACTTTACACACAAAAATTGGTTACCAAGCTAACACAGATTAAGGATCTGGGTTAGCACCAAGTAGCGTACATTTTTTGGTGACCCCGACGTGATTGTTGATAAAATATCAGCTTTCATTTTGTCGAAACACATATCGAAGGAGTCAATTACCTACAAAAGGACACACCAAAAGGTCTACTCATTAACCAGCTGAAGTATTTATTCATTGAAATTTTCGGACCGAAAATTCAAACATCGCCATGGATGCGTTATTAAAGAAGCAGTCAGAGCTCGGTACAGAGATTGAGCGACTGATAACCAATTTCAAAAAGGATTCTACTACCCGCAAGCAGGATACCACATATTATGAAGATCGACTAAATAAACTAAACACGTTGTGGGATAATTTCGAATCTAATGATGCTGAAATCAAAGTACTGCCACAATCTGAACTTCAACACGAGTATTTCAGTGCAGACAATTTCAAAAAAACCTCCAATCTAGTAGTCACATATGATGAAACATTCAAGCTAGAGAAATCAAGGCTACTCCTGAAACCACAGGACGGGAAGCCAGTAATAAGCCCAAGAGGGTCAAATAATACTACATCGCTCATGCGAACCATGCAAAAGCAATTGTCATTAATGCATGCATTACGCGTAAACATAGACGAAATATATGAAGAAATAACCATAAAACATCATCCTAGTTATTATGATCTGAAATATTCTCTGATAGAAAAATATCAGAAGGATCTGAGGGATAACAATGATGAAATGTGGTCATCAGCCGACGCAGAAGACATCGTCGGATATACTTGGGACCAATACTATTCAACGGATAAAGATGCCCAAAACGCGTTAATATATTTAAAACAACACAGTCAACCAACTGAAGGATTAACGTCAGGGGCCTGCAGCAACTCAACAAATCAGACTTCCAAAAATAGTTTTACCAACATTTGATGGAGACTATTAGAAATGGATTGAATTTAGAGATTTGTTTCAACAATTGATCCATGATCAATCAATAAGCGCAGCCCACAAAATGTTCCATCTATCTACAAATTTGGCGGGTGAGCCAAAAGCCCTCATACGACATCTGCCAATTTCCGAGCAAAATTACAATATAGCTTGGGATATTCTGTCAAATTGGTATGACAACAAACGACTCTTGGTGACAGCATTACTAAATAAATTGTTATCACAACCAAATATAACAATTGAGTCAGCAAGCAGTCTTAAGAGCATACATGATGTTACAAAAGAATGTTATTATGGATTAGCAGCTCAAGGTATTGATGTTAAATCTTGGGACGCCATAATGGTTCACGTAATTATTAGAAAGCTAGACAAAGCTTCACATACAGAGTTCGAGCAATCGTTAGAAGACAGCCGAAGAATAATTTCAAGTAAGCTCCAGTTCGATTTGCATCGAAGGCATAGGGATAGGTAAATTGAGTTCTAAAAGTCGTACAACACTTTCTGTGCAATCAAAAGTGACCGATTACAAAACAATACTTGAAGCATTTGTGTTGCCAAAAATTGTATCCAATCAACCATCGCACACTTACAAATTTCAAATTGAAATCTGCCCAATAACATCCAATTAGCAGATCCTACATTCTATAAGTCTGACAAAATTGATATGTTGCTTGGAGAAGAATTTTATCATCAACTCCTAAGTTCTGGTCAAATACAACTTTCAAGGGAACTACCAATTCTACAGAACACTGTGCTCGGATGAATCGTATTTGGAAAAATCCAAAATGCTAACACAATGATTGCAACATGTGGAATAGCATCAGAAGATAGTTTAGAAAATGCAATAGAACAACTCTGGAAGGTTGAAGAAGTTGATACTCACTCAAAGGTCTTGTCAATAGCAGAGCAACAATGTGAAGCTCAATTCACTCAAACTACATATCAGAATGTTACGGGACGATTCATTGTACGTCTTCCTTTTATAAATGACAGATTCGCTGTGGGAGATTCGAAAGATATTGCTACAAATAGATTTCTAGCACGAGAGCGTAGACTTTCAAAGGATAGTCACCTCAAACGACAATACGTAGACTTTTTAGATGAATATGAAAAATTGGGACATGACCGAAATAGATATTGAAAGGATTATGTCACCACATTACTTTATATCACACCATTGTGTGCTTAAACTCGACAGTACCACCACCAAGTTACGTGTGGTATTTGATGCATCATCCAAAACAATATCAGGGCAATCTCTCAATGATTTACTACACATCGGACCAACTGTGCAAAGTGAATTACTGTCTATTTTATTACGATTCCGTCTTCCTCGTTATGTGTTTACAACAGACATTGAAAAGATGTACCGACAAATACTTGTACATCCAGAAGACAGACAATGTCAGCTTATCGTTTGGAGAAATGAACCAAGTCAACCTATAAAGTACTTTGAACTCAACACAGTAACATATGGTATTAGATCAGCACCGTATCTAGCAACCAAATGTTTGCAAGTTTCAGCTGATGACAATATGCAAAATTATCCATTAGGTGCATCTGCTCTCAAACAAAACTTCTATGTAGATGACTATTTACACGGGGCAGATAGTCTGAGAACATTGTTGGAAACTCAGAGTCAATTAAACAAAATACTGACAGCAAGCGGTTTTAAATTGCGAAAATGGTGCGCAAATCATCCAAGTCTACTACAAGGAATTCCACACGATGACTTAGAAGTCAATTTAGATTTAGAAAATAATAACGATACAACAAAAACTCTTGGGTTATCCTGGTGTCCAAAATCTGATAGTTTATGCGTCAAGGTTAAATTGGAACCCGTTTGCAGCACGACGAAGCGCAGTGCAACCTCAGATTTAGAAAGGCTATTTGATCCACTAGGACTTTTGTCACCAGTTGTGGTGATGGCAAAGATCTTTATTCAAGAATTATGGAATTTAAAGATGGATTGGGATGAAAAACTGCCGACTGAATTACATAAACAGTAGTTAGAGTTCCGGAACAATTTGACAAAAGTAAATTGTCTGCAGATATCTCGTCATATTTTCAAAGGCGAAGTTCCTGCCAACATTCAATTACACATCTTTACAGATGCATCAAAAAAGGCATATGGTGCTGCAGCGTATTTGCGATCAACACTTCAGAATGGTCAAATTATTGTACGACTATTGTGCGCCAAATCTCGGGTTGCACCTTTGAAAAGGTTGACATTACCTCGTCTCGAACTTTGTGTAGCTGTGGTTGGCGCAGAACTAGCAACAAGAATAAAGAACGACCTACAAATAAGAAATTACCAGACGTTATTTTGGTGTGATTCACAAATAGTGATATCATGGATCAACTCTCCATCATCAAAGTTTCACACTTTCGTTGCAAACAGAGTAAGCAACATTCATCAATTAACAGCCACAAGTCAGTGGCGCCACGTCAGTTCGGAACACAATCCAGCTGACATTTTATCAAGAGGCCTTGCACCCCATAAACTACAGTCATCAAGTATGTGGTTTTATGGACCTATGTTCCTGCATGGTCGGGAAGAACTGTGGCCTTCAAAACCATCATCAGCGTTAAAATTCGAAACCCTCATTGATCCCGAACGGAAGAAGGAAACTACAGTATCTACATTGTCTGTTGTTGAAGGCACAGCAAATCCTCAATACGACACAACAACTCATTTGGAAGACTTCAACGGATATTATCGTATATATTAAGATTCGTAAAAAGAACCAGAAGAAAACAAAATGATCATTCAAGCAATTTTTTGACTCCAGATGATCTAGATGCAGCACATCAGGTCATCATCAAAAGTATTCAATATGCAGAATTTAAAAATGAAATCAAAATTATGAAATCTGATGGAAGAATAAATGAGTCCAGTGCATTGGCATCACTGGCACCTTTTATTGATAATACGGGCATCATAAGAGTTGGTGGACGTTTGGATGCAGCCTCATTATAGTGTGACGCAAAACATCCTATGTTGTTGCCTTATAATGACCCCATTGTCAAATTAATAATGGAACAAGTCCATAAGAAATACATGCACTGTGGTTCGCAGTCTCTCCTAGCTAACATGCGTCAACGATACTGGCCAATTAAGGGCAAATTAATGGCAAGGTCAGTAGAACAACATTGTGTACGTTGTACTAAAGTAAGACCACGATTTTATGAACAACTGATGTGTAATTTGCCAGCGACAAGAGTACAACCTGGGCGACCATTCCTCACCACTGGAGTGGACTTTTGCGGACCTTTTTGGATACATTACAGAATCCGAGGCAAGAAACCACACAAGGCATACATTGCTGTGTACTGTTGTTTCACAACTAAGGCAGTTCACCTCGAAGTAGTTAGCGATTTAACCACAGATGCATTCATCGGATCGCTGAAACGTTTTATTGTTCGAAAAGGACACTGCAAAAATTTGTTTTGTGACAATGCCACAAATTTCGTGGAAGCAAGCAATCAATTACTTGAACTTGCAGACTCAATTCAAACAAACAAGGCACAAGAGAAGATAATTAACGAATGTAATGAAAGAGGAATAACATTTAAATTTATACCTCCTCGTGCACCACACTTCGGTGGACTGTAAGAAACAGCAGTCAAATCAGCAAAACACTTATTGATACGAAGTACTAAGACCACGTCACTAACATATGAGGAACTAGAGACTGTAGTACTAGAAGTCGAAGCAATACTGAACTCTCGACCATTGACACCTATGTCGAGTAATCCGAATGACTTGTCAGCACTAACACCTGGTCATTTCTTAATCGGAGAACCGCTCACAGCAATGGCAGATGCAATCGCACTCTAGAGTGCGATTAAACAGTATTCATCATCATACGATAAGCTATTTGGCGTTGTTAATTTCTATAACAATAATAATAATCAGCACTTGGAAAACCAAACATAACATATGTCAGAAACACACAATAAGCGAAATTTCAACACGAAGAAATAATATGCAGAATGCAGAATTACGTCAACAAAATTTGGACTTCACTGTGACCACAACCTAGGACAAGTTGAGTTGGCACTCAACGGCGGGGAGAATGTTTATGTTTGTATTTAGTTAATATTATTTTATATTTTTTTGTTGTGATATTTGGTTACATGTGTTTTTCAGTTTGAGCCAACTGTAGTGTCATATCAGACCATGACCACACGCAATTCAATGTGTGCGTTATGATGATCTGACACTTTAACCCATAACACTTCAAATCAATATTTATAACCCAGAAACCCAAATTGTATAGCACAATAATTTATGAGTTGGTAATTCGACTCCTTTGTTTTGTCATTTCTTTATGACAAACGTTTTAGTGCATAGCGAAGTATAATTACTTCAGCATGTGCTTGGCAATTTGGATTTCGGAATCTAGAACACATTAAAATATGTCAAGTGTTGTGCGGATCATATTGCAAGCAATTGTGCATGCAATATGATTTGCCCTCTTTTACAGTTGGTCACTATATGTGTGTCAACTATTAAGAAATGATATTGTTGACCAATGACATAAGTATATAGAAACTAAGAAATATATTAACCAATAGAATTTAAGAAAATAGTAAAATGTAAAATAGAATATTGTAAAACCGAACTGTTATCGGTATGAAAAATATAATGATTGTTAGTCTTTAATTGAGAGTTTTAGTGTATAGTGCATAGTTGATAGTTGATAGTAATACATGATCTTGTTGAGATCTTATTAATAATAAAAGTAAAAACGATGTGCAAATAAATAAAAATAAAGTTTACATATAATAAAAAAACAAATTAAGTGTTTTCTTTTAAAGACAATATTTAAAATCCCACATGGCGATCCTGCAAATTTGCCAAACGGCAAACGGAAATATTAACTAGAAAATATATTTAAAAACTTTAATTTAATAAAAAAAAAAAAAACCGCATTCGGCTCTAGAATCAATGTGGTAAAAGAAAAGTGAAGAGTAAAAATAAAAAGTGAACTATTTTTACAAAAATTTAAAAGTTGTTATATCCTCAATAAAAACAAAAACAATGACAGAAAAAATTGAATATAAAAACTACAAATAATAAATATGAGCAAATAAATGTGAAAATATATACAAAAATATTTAGTTAAATTAATTAAGCAAAAATATTCTACTCAATGAGTAAAACTTATTTAATAAATAAATATTTAGAAAAACAAAAAAAAAATACTTTGAGAAAAATCCAAAGAAGATTGAAGTTAAAGTTCTTAAAATTGAAATTTATACTTTAATGTTTTTAAACTTAAAACTTATAGCAAAAATATGTGAAATTTATACATAAAAGCATAAAAACAAAAAAAAAAAAAATATTTTGTAAAACAAACAAAAAAACACTTTGTCGCAAAAACTAAGTTTAAAACACAAAAGAGATTGTTAAACAAAACATAAACAAACAAGAAAGGAAAGCAATAAAAATAAAAATCTAACAATTGGAAAAATACTGAAGAATACTGAAGAGTAATGGGCTGGTTTTCACAGGACATACCGCAAACGGAACAGAAGACAACAACCAATAATCTACAAACAGTTGCTGTCAACACAGGACATGAACAGGTTATAGTAATCACGATAGTTGTAATAATAGTTATATTATACATCGCCCATAAAATTAATAAATATATAAAAAAATACGTGCATAAGCATGCACACAGAAATTTATCAAACGATGTATAATACAACATAATATATTACAACTTACTATACAAAAGAAAATTTTTGAAAGAAACAAAATCTGTTTAAACAAAAATAGAATATTTTAAAAAAAAATTTTTTTTAATTGCATTTGTAAAAAAAAAACAAAAAAAAAAAAAAATTATATTAAAATTATATTGAAAACTATCATTATATATATATAAAAAAAAAATACAATGAAAAATATATATTATTATTATACCAATCTGAATACAAATTGTATTAAATTATATTAACTATATTAAAAGAATTACATAAATGAATTAATAAATTTAAAGTAATAGAAATGAAAATTATACTGTTTAAATATTCTTTAATGGTCATTGTTTCATTACCTTTGAATAAAGTTGTACGCGAACGATAATACCTATAAATATCGTATTATTTCGCATTTTCACTAATATTGTCTCTGATATTTCTTTCTTTTATTGTTGCTCTACTCTGTTCAATTCCCTCATATTTATGTTGGTTGATATAATAAAATATTTCCCTTTTTCTAAAACACTTTAATGGAAATTATTAGTACTCACATAAGTGAAGTACAAAGTATACTAAGAAACGCAAGGAAAGCTAGTGTAAGAGGATACACTAAGCAAACGATAGAAGAGAAACTAAATAGATTAGAATACCTGAAAAATTGTGTTAGCTCAATATATATTGAATCCAAATTAGTAGAATCCCAAAACCTCAAAGAAATATTTTTTGAAAAATATTCGATTACACATAAACAACTTATTAAAATGTCAGTAACAGAACAAACTGACAACTTAATAACCCATAACCAACCTATACCAAACCCACCAAGTACGACACGAAATACAGACACAAGGATGGCTTCGTATTACTCAATTCTGGAAAACGTAGAAAAGGTTCTACCCACATTTCAAGGAAGACAAGAGGAATTAAGTTCATTCCTCCATAGATTACAATTGTACGATAAGAAGATAACAGAAGAGAACAAACAAGAGTTCTTGGAATACATTGTAGAATGCAAACTTCACCATAATGTACGTGCTAGAGTCTCACCACTGGGTTATCCAGACACATTACAACAGTTGATAAAGAAACTTACCAAAGCTTACGTTGCAAAGGATACAGTACAACAGTTACTGCAAAGGATCAACGAAATGAGACAAGGTCACAATCAATCCGTTACAGAATTCAGTGACAAGATGGCCAAACTACTTTCAAGTCTCAATAATATCTCTTTACTTAAGAGAAATTATAATATACGCATTGTTAGCCTATAAGAAAGGACTTAATGCAACCTACTCACAAACGGTACAGGCTGCACAACCTAAATCTTTTCAAGAAGCTAGGGACTTTGCGGAAAATTTAGTTTTTCCAGATCAACGACAACAGGTTTTATATACTCAACACTACCGTGGCAATATGTCGCCACAACAATACAATCAAAGGAGAAATTTCTCTAACCATTTGAATAGGAACAATCAAATAAGAAACCAATATAATAATAGGCAGCATAATAATCAAAGAAATCAATATAATAATCAAAGAAATCAATTTAATAAAAAACCAGTAGAACTCTCCTCTGGTAAAACTAAAAATAATATCTACACGTATAACCCCAATATATCTAATTACATAAAAGTATTTTGCCAAAATACTAACACCTTCGTAAAATTATTAATTGACACAGGTGCAGACGTGTCAATAATTAAATATAAACACAACATAGATTATAATTCAAATAAAACATTAATATTAGTTGGAATTACAGACAGTCACAGAACATCTCTAGGAACCACAAACCTACAGATAAAATTTGATGAAACATATTTACATTATGAATTTTCAGTAGTGGAGAAAAATTTTCCCATAGAAGTCGACGGTATCATTGGAAGGGATTTTCTAACAAAATTCCAATGTAATATTGATTATTACACCTTTTTACTCACAGTAAACAACAACGAACAAGAAACAACTGTTCCCATTTACTACAAACCAATAGTAATTCAATCAAGAACAGAGCATATTTTACCGATAGATATGTACTTCGAAGAAGACACATTGCTAATTTCTCAAGAAATTGACAAAGGTGTTTTCATCGCAAATACTATAGTTCCCGGAAAAGGAAACTGTCATGTTCGAATTTTAAATACAAATGAACATGACGTTACACTCAATAGATTAAAATTTCAAAGCCGACCACTTAAACATTACAATTACAGCGTCAAAAAGAATACAAAAGAAAATAACCAGTTACGTTTAGAAACACTTCTTAACAAACTACAATTAGGTACAAATAAAACTTTGGATGATGATACACTCATTCCCCTAATATCACACTATCAACACATATTTTTATTGGAAGGAGAACAAATAACATGTAACAATTTTTACACTGAACACATACCAACCACAGATAATGTTCCAATATATATTAAAAACTACAGATTACCATATACCCATAATGATGTAATAAAATTACAAGTCCAAAAACTGCTAGATGACGACATAATTCAACCTTTGAAAAGCCCGTATAACTCTCCAATCTTACTAGTACCAAAGAAATCAGCTGAAGATGAGAAGAAATGGAGACTCGTGATTGACTATAGAAAACTTAACAATAAAATAGTAAACGATAAATTCCCATTAACACGCCGTGAAGACGTACTAGATAAACTTGGAAAAGCAAGATATTTTTCGACGCTCGACATGACTAGTTCATTCCACCAAATACCGATAGATACAAAGTCTCAACAAAAAACTGCTTTTTCAACTACAGATGGACATTATGAATTTAAAAGACTTCCATTTGGACTAAAAATCAGTTCCAATAGTTTTCAACGAATGTTAACACTCGCGTTAACAGGTCTTGATAATGAAGCATTCCTATACGTGGATGACGTGATTGTATTCGGCAAAAGTCTAAAACATCATAATATTAATTTGGAAAAAGTCTTCAAAAGATTGAGTGACTACAACTTAAAGCTCAATCCTGAAAAATGTAACTTCTTAAAACATGAAGTAACATATTTAGAACATCTAATAACAGAACATGGCGTCAAAACAGACCCAGCAAAATATACAGTTATTCAAGAATATCCTAAACCAACAAATATAGATGAAGTAAGAAGGTACGTT